GATCATACTCTAATACCCCTGATAGGGGATATATCGGCGATGGGACTATACCTGCTATAACCTACCCTGAGTTGTCCACACCCACTCTACCAAAACGACCACCCTTGCCCCCTAGGGGCTCATCAGAACAAGCTGTTGTGGGTAGCCGCAATTCTCTAATTGATCAAATGGCATCCTCCTCGTCGGCCAGGCCACCGGCCCTGCCCCCCTATAGCCCAGCAATACCGGTTAGGAAAGCTGCAAGATCTCCCAGCCCTGGCAAACGTATCATGCGGACAACACTTCGATCTGGTAAACGTGACAAGCCTTCGAGGACAAACAGTTCGACACCGTCCAAAGTAGGTCAGGGTCCGGGTGCGAGCAAGGCAGCTACACTAGCCTGGAGCCATCTTGGACCAAGGGAAAGCGTTGAAAGGGTTCCTCCGGTAGATACGGGTGGTTCGTCAAGGGTTTCCGATCCGCGGTACTCAAACGAACATGTACGAGACAGCCCGACATCGCAAACAATGTACTGGGACAGCCACACGAGGAGGCTCGTGGTGTCTACTGAGAACGCTCCAGTGGGTACGCAAGATGGCGAATCTAGCCCCGACTCTCTAAGGCGGACCTCGGGCGACTATACGTCAAATGGACCATCCTCCCTTGCCCTAGGGGCTGCTTCGAGCGCTTTGAATGCGCTTACTATACAGGACAGGCGGGAGCCTAGCCCCACAGCAAAACGGGCGTCGAGACCAAGAAGGAGAACTGGGTCATTACACGACGAGTCGAACAAAGCTAGTGCGTCTAATACGGGCCTGCCAAGGCCTAGTCCAAGGGCAAGTTCCAAAGAATCACCTATAAGAAGGAAACCAGTTGAGCCTCGTAGGACTCCTGAGCCGAACAGCGCTAAGAAGCGAGTCGGCCGTTTAAGATCAGATCGTGGGAAGAGGGACAGATCAACCTCTGGTGACGAAGAAACAAGAGCAAGCCCGACTCGTAGTCGGAGGTCTAAAGGTAAACAGAGGGAGTCGCCACTGACTGCTGAAACTGAGGCCTTATCCTCGGAAGGTTCGAAGGAAGACGAAGAGACCAAAACATTGAGTGATTGGGACAAGAGGAAGCGGAGAATGCTCAAGAGCCTACCACCGGGCGTAGACGAGACGGCAGCGAAGTCGATATTTAACGAGATTGTGGTCCATGGTGACGAGGTCCATTGGGGGGATGTTGCCGGCTTGGAAATCGCCAAAAATGCTCTAAGGGAGGCTGTCGTATACCCGTTTCTACGACCCGACTTATTTATGGGCCTTCGCGAACCAGCTAGGGGTATGTTGCTCTTTGGGCCTCCGGGAACAGGAAAGACGATGTTGGCCCGCGCGGTTGCGACAGAATCGAAATCCACGTTCTTTTCGATCTCGTCAAGTAGCCTGACGAGTAAATATCTTGGAGAATCTGAGAAACTCGTACGTGCTCTCTTTGCCCTAGCAAAGGTCATGGCTCCAAGCATCATCTTCGTTGATGAGATAGACTCGTTATTGTCCCAACGATCCGGATCGGGCGATCACGAGGCTACCCGAAGGATAAAGACGGAGTTTCTCATCCAATGGAGCGATCTGCAGAGAGCTGCTGCAGGACGCGAGAGTAGTGGCGTAGGGAAAGACAAGGGCGATGTGAACCAAGTACTCGTCCTGGCGGCTACGAATTTGCCATGGGCAATCGACGAGGCAGCAAGACGTCGATTTGTAAGGCGTCAGTATATTCCTTTGCCTGAAGCAGAGACCAGAGCCACGCAGTTGAAAACACTCCTGGGCCAACAGAAACACAGTCTTACAGATGCTGACATAGCGGAACTTGTAAGCTTGACAGAAGGTACTAGATGAACTTAACAAATCAAACTGGCAGGCGAGAATTAGTTGGGCTGACAAACTGATTTATCTAGGCTTCTCTGGCTCTGACATCACGGCTCTGGCTAAAGATGCAGCGATGGGACCCCTTCGCTCGCTCGGTGAGGCCCTTCTCCACATGACGATGGATCAGATTCGACCGATAGAACTTTGTGATTTCCAAGCCAGTCTGCAAATGATCCGTCCCAGCGTGAGCAAGGAAGGATTGAAGGAGTACGAAGACTGGGCGAAGAAGTTTGGAGAGCGTGGTGGATGAGAGAGATAGACATATCCACCCACGCGATTGGAAATGTTCCCAATAGATTGGTGGAAAATCCAGGTTGGTAAGGATTGAACTGAATAGGCGGGATCAAAGAATAAATAGGGGGCGGAGTTTGGAGGTCTGGCAGCCACCAACTATGTATGGTATTGGCACATATGAGATACCAGGAAGCAAAGCAAGATATTCAACGCTTTACGTTGGCTGACGCAATTGGAACGCCCTTTACATCCCCCCCCTCCCCTCTTAGCTACGGAGTTATACGTACATGTTTTTTACATTAATGTGTGCATATACATATATACACCGTCTATGGAATGTCAAACCTGCCTGCTGGTTCTTAGGCTTTGCAACAGTGTAGATGGGGGAGATGGGAGATGGGAGATGGGCTCTCCTATTCATCAGATCCGAGGCCAATCAAGCATAATTCGGGGGGGGTTTTTTTTCCCTCATCATACTTTTCTCCCCTCTCTCCTTTTCTTCTTTTCTATTCCTCCGTACAGTGATCAGGTTTCTCAGTCAACATCGTCCGGGCTTGTCATCGTTGTAGTAGTGTCAGTATCAGCCATATTCCTCTGGGCGTTTGGTATGGGCCTCAGCTTGGCCGCCTTCCTGGCCTTGATCGCGGCCCTCTCCTCGTCCCGGGCCCTCGCACGCTCCTCCTTGATGACCGCGCGGCGCTCGTCCTTGGCGGCCCGCTTAGCCTGCCTCTCAGCCACACGCTCCTCCAACGTGGGCACGGCCGGACGCGCCTCGATCGGCTCCCCGTAGGGCGCGATGATGTGCTTGACCACGTGGCGCACGTGCTGCGACACCCGCCAGGTCGGCGTGATGGCCACCACGTCGCCCTGGCGCACTGAGTTGCGCGGGTCGTGCACGAGCTTGTACTGCCGAGATTTGAAGTACTGCAACAGAGGGAGGTTAGGCAGGTTAGCAGAAAGAAAGAAAGCAAGTTTAGTTGATAGAGATTGTGTGATTGGGTATTATGAACAAGGAGGGGGGTGGGGGAAGGGGGGGGATATCATTCAAGGTGGGAAAAGGGGACCTGGTATCGACGAAGGGTAAGAAGGCATATAGGAGATAGGAGGTAGGTAGGTAGTAGGTATATGGTTCAGGAATCAAAACCCACCTTCTGCACCCTCGGCTCCCAGCGCAACCCGCCCAACTTCACCTTCACTGTCTTGTCCATCAGCCCGGCCGAGACGACAATGCCGTGAAACTCCTTTGCTGCCCGCCGCGCAGCTGTAGTTGCAGCTGTCGTTGCAGCTGTCGCGGCGGCTGCTAAAACTTCAGAGGCCATTTCCCCCCTTTTTTTTCTTATTCTTCTCCCTCCCTCTCTCTAGTTTCCCCCCTTCTTTCCACTAGATGTGTGTGTCCCTTAATTATATCCCCCCTTCCACCTTCTTTCTGCAGGGACTTTCGGTGTCAATCGCTCGTCTGTATTATGGTTCTAGCTTGAGGAGTCGTTGCTTTGTCTAACGCTGTTGTGTGTGTGTGTGTGTGTTTGCGTGCGCAGAGGTGTCGTTCAAGGTGATATTCACTTGCTCATTTGCTCTTCGGTTCACCTTTGATGAAGCCCTCTTGCTGCTCTTTAGAAATTTAGAGAGGGTCTGGTTATCGATTAGAGAGTTTCCTGGCGGCCCAGGCCCAGGGCAAGTCAGTGACGGGAGTGGGGCACAGAAGGGCAGATGCAGACATTGGCAATCAGAGAATTCGGGTAAATTTGGCTCCGCTGATCCTTGCGTATGGTGGTCCACCCCGCGGCCCAATCTCAACGCGTCCGTCGCCAGGGACAATAAGGAAGAACCTCAATGGCGTCATTTCCTCTCATCACAGGTATCTTTGGTAAATTATGACTCTGTAGTTGCGATCGCGACTACGCAAAGGCTCAAGTCAAGTCAAACTTATCATTTCAGTCGATTCATAACAGGAGGCAATCCAACGTTGCCTGCCCGGCTGGTGAATACTATTAATTTGTACTGAGGCATGGCTGATATCACCATACTCAATACTCATACCGCCATACTCATAGCTTCCTTCATGCCATTCTAATATTTCCCTCTACGCCCGAGGTCTAACACTTGCGATATATTCTAGTCGCTATGGTTTGCTGTCTGGTTCGCGAGACATATAGCAAGTCAAGACCCAAATTGTCTTACAGTTGTTGGCCTCCCATTCCGAGGTCAGACTTAGGCAGCTTGTCTTTGTCCTGACTATGTAGAAGAGCAAATACGAATATAAGCACTCTCTTTCTGTACACAGCTTGCATAATTATTACTCTTTGCAATAATTAATGTAGAAGCATATTCTGTAGATATCTTCAGTGGTTGTACGTATGAGAGGTGTTGCTGTTGCAGTGATACAATAATCATTCATACCTAGGCAGTCAATGAGCAAGCGACTAATGTGTAGGCTACTCAAAAACTCAGAGAATTCTACAGAGTTTTGAAGAAAACACGTCTTTCCGTGTTAGAAGGCAATTGCCAATAGTAGCAGTGGATATTCCCACCACATTCGCTGCACTAGCATTGTGAGCATCGTGTAATGTTTAACCACGGCAGGTTTAAGGATTGTAGTGATTATTGTGGTAGTTAAATTTAAGGACCACTACGAGCCCTTGAGTATACAAATTCATATTATCAATGGTATGGGAACAGGCTGTGATGGCTCCTTTACGAACACTGTCCTCACTAACCACCGGAATACCCTCATAAACCACAACCTAGCAGCAATAACAAGAACGACCAGATCAATCAGTAGTATCAGTGCATGTAGTACTTTTTTCTACGGGTTCGTATTGTTCATGAGCACCGACAGGTATAAAAAGAAGGAAAAGAAAAATCTTGGAAGACCAAGCTGCTGGGCACCTAGGGGATTCGAACCCCTGACCTCTCCCATGGTAGTAATAGCCCCAAAGGGAGTACGATAACCTCTTCGCTAAGGCGCCTGTACCAGTACGGGTATTTGGCTTGTGTTGACAAGCAATTGACCTTTTGACCTATAAACCATAGAGTCAGTCCCTCGGTAACAGTTTTGGGTATTTTCCCTTTGTACCGAGCTGTACGTACAGTACATCCCGGAGATAGCAAACAGCAACAACGGCATTCCGTGGTTATCTACATTGGTAATCTGCCTAACGTGCCTAGATATGGCCGTGTATCAAGAACGTTTCCCCTCAAAATACGCTCAGTATAAAGATATATTCCTTCTCGTAAATCCTTGAGCCTTGAGCGGCAGCCTGGTTATTTGGACCCACGTAGTGGTCCCCCTCCCCCGCCCCTATTTCAGTCAGTAGGTGAAACTGCTATTTTCATTATTTCTACCACTGGCTGATCACAAGTGCTAATAGAAGCCATATTAATTAGGTCAAATCCCTACGGCCCAACGCAGAAACAATCATGTATCATTCAAGATCCGAGCTCAGCATTTTGTGCTCCCCACTTCAATATCGACTTCGAAAGTATTTTCCTTTAACATAACCCACGAGCCGAGGGAATATTGCCACAGGATACCGGCAGAGTACAGGAATAGAAAACACAATTCGCCTCAAAAAATCTACCATCGTTCTGGCTGTTTCGTATAACACCAATGCACCCCCGAGATTCTCCAAATCAAGATGGTCAGTATTTTTCCAGGCTAGATGCTAAACATTAACGCTATTATACTTTTTTATAGATAAACTAGTCCTTGTGTTGGACCGCGAATTGGAGAAATAGACTCTTAAGCACCAAAGCCTTCAAGGTTTCCCATAAGGATATTCAACACAATACGACACAAGAATTACCGATTTTCTCACCCTTCCTCGGTCACTCGGAAATTTGGTGAACAGCAAACAGGAAGATGCCACAGAAAGGCACGTTAGCCGGTAGCCATACCACCATCGAAAGTATGCGAGTTCCCTCTATACTGATAGGTCATGTCAGTCTGCAATATTATATAATACGGTCAGCCGTCAAGGGGTATCCTAGTACCACTACTATACGCCAGGACGGGTGAGTTCGTATCGACGAGGGGCGTTCGAATCACCAGCAGAGCTGTACCACCACGGGGGATTCGTACCCACAGGGGGATGCCACCCCATGGTGCGACGATATGTGTCGTGTTGCTGAGATATTTGATCTAGGATACCTCCTCGCAGGCTGAGAGACCCGCATAGGCGCCCTCGATGTCGAGCGTGCCACTGGGGCATGATCCCGTCCCATGACCAGCCGCTGCCGTTCGCGAGTAAAGTAGTTTGCCTAGGCTGCGCCGAAGCTGGTGTCTTGACCAGCGAAGTATTATCCGCCGTGGATGAGTTCGGTGTAAGCGGCACGGGCATAATGGCTACTGAATGCCGGATCCGTGTAAGTCGTGTACTCGGTAGCCTGCTTGAACGTGGTGAGTTAGTCTCGTCGTGGGAAACCTGAAGACTTGAACACGGACCAGACATTGATAAATAACAAAGCGTGCTCCGGAATTATACGCCGCGCTGGATTTCACGCTTGATTGGTAGTGGGAGATAACGATAGCGACGGTGACACTGCTCGGGACCAACAGGGAAAATACAGGGAGCTCCATCCTAGCTCTTATTAACTAGTAAGATATATTTATTCCTTATCACTTTTGAGATATGTCAGCCGCCTACTATATAACCACCGAGGCAGAAGTATTTATGACTTATATTAATGTATCTGGTATTACATATGCTACGGCCTAGTATAGGAGCAGGGAAGTAATAACCCATGTAGTATCAACATGATAACGAGTAACCCCCCGGATCTTTGCTGGCCGGTGCCAGGTCCTCACTAATAATTCAGCCGCACCATCACCTCCAATGACCCCTCCACGACTGCCATTATGTCTTTGAACTGAGCTCGTGCTGATAATGTTCCCATCCGGTAGGTTGTTAGAGGTCAGATAAAGGCGCGTATATTGCCAAATAATATTAACGATGAGACCTGCCTTCCATACATGGAGGTATGGGAGGCCACTCTACCACTACCTATGTGCCTCTCTTCACGCTTATTATGTTGATAACGAGAATTGGGTCCACTATCTAATAACGGCATTGAGAAACATGAGAACGTATGACTAATTAATCAATATAAATATAAATAGCAGAGGGATACTGAAAATAAGTAGGCAGAAGTGTAGTGTCAAAAGGCACCTAGTATGGTCTTGTAGGTAATAACGTAGTTGCCGTGCGGAAGATTAGAACTAGAACTACAACGACTTGAAGTATCGTGTCTTATACCTGTTAACAGTCTCTTTGTCCCCTAGAAGGGTGCGCACCACCTTGTTAACTTTAACCCTTATACTGACATGGTTCTTAATAGTTAGCCATTGCTTATCTAGGCTACTTACCTTTTAAACTCCTCTGTTTATAAAAAGATTTATCTCGAAAACACTTAAATAAACCAAGTCTTAATAAACTCGTCTTATTATAATATAGAAGTAAACCGATATTAAAAAGATATATAAGGAAAATATTTAAAAAAAAAAAAAAACAGCTTAATAAGTAGTGTTATTACTTAAGTTATAAATATTTTACATCCTAGCTTTTAAAGGGGAGGCAAGAGTACACAGCCCTTTAATATGTTTGTTTATAATTTTAGAAATGGTATAACGAGGGTATTTAGCTAGGAATCGCTGTATCCTCTATATGTAAGCCATCATGTTATGATGAACTAATAAGCACATCGTACGAACCTATACACTTTCGAGTTTACCAAATCAGCTCTGACTAGTCGCCCCGAGAGTTACAGAAAGGACTCCACATATATTAATTCACATACCTGATTACATTTTTGACTCCCAAGCACGCCGGGAACTAGTCATATAATGTACGAGGTCATAACGCCACAATGGTTTCATTTTCTGATAATATCAAGTCCATCGACCCACACATAATAGTTACGGGACACGTAACCGGTCCCCCAATGAAGTCTCATATTATATTCAAACTGCCTGTATACCAAACTGCTGTTGATACCACATGAATCCTAGGCTCATAGTAGTTTCCGGCCCTTTGTAGAGTCCCAGGACCTACCCTAGTAATAGCAACCACGACCCTTCTTTACCACGCTCTTAGCGGGGATGGAGTACGATTCCTGCTGGGTGGAAGGAGGTTATTGGTAGTTAAACCTGTGCAACATGTACATTTTCTATCTACATGTGTTCTTGGTAATTTTATTTATATGTATCAAATAGCCTGTTAAGGCGAATGAGTGATGTTCTAAAGAAGGGTGTACTTGAGATTTCAGATGGCTTTCACTTAGGAGTCAGAACATTACCAGCATGACTTCTACTGTATTGGCTGTGTGTGATCAATACCTTCGATAAAATGCGATAATACTCGTTGATTCTGGGCGATCCCGAGTCATGGGTTTCACTATCCCCCCAAACCCATTTCCCTGACGACTTGAAATACGTAGAAGTATTAACAATTTAACGTCAAACATATATTGAAACCATTATTTATCTCATTATATCTAACATCACTTGTGACGTTATCATACCGTCGGTAACTCTAGGCCATGAATATTACGACTCCAACCGGAAGACATTGCTGTGTGAGCATTCGATGGTAGTGCTAATCAAGCGTATTGTGACTTCGGGGACAGATATGTATGAGCCTAGTTATCAACTAGATGATACGATATTAATACATAAACGACGGTTCTCACTGTTGAGTAATAAACCGCGAATTAAACACATGATGGTGTGGGTTGTATTTAATAATATGAGTAAGCTACGACTATAAGTGAAGCGTTAATTTAAGGGGAAACTAAAACCTACAACGTTAAATCCGAGACCAGAGAATGCTAGACGGCAAGCCTATCGGATGAGCTGGGCATAAAGTAGAGAGATAAAGAAGCCTCAGAAAAGTTCCTATTGGATCCCAACGCCATTTGCCTGCTCACCCTGGGAAATACATGTCATCCAGTGGGAGAGTCTACAGATGACATGCCAACCTCATCAGTGCCGTGGTCAAGCTCAGTTAGAAATGTTACGGCATGAAACCCCAAGGCCCAATAGATTGAAGGCTAGATGTAATGGCGTAAGACAATCATAAATGCCTCAAGCGACAATGATACTCTAAGCATGGTATGATGAGCAAGTTTGCCGAATGTGAGGGATGTAGTGACTGGCAACGTTGTTTCGCCGTAAGGGCTGTGGCATATTATACGGTAGTCAGCGTACATATGTAGGCTGACATGTTCGTGTCGCGCGAAAGGGCTTAGATCAAGGACAGATGATGTCCTCCCTGGCCTTTTTGGACCAGTTGCTTCTGCAACCTGAGTGACAATCGGATTATATCATGACAGTATGTCTGTGCTTGTGCCGTGCTCGCGCTCACTTGGATTGGTAGAAATTACGTAACAAGACAACCGGGAATATGGGCATACAGCCCTGAGTTGAGACAACGATCGAATTGTCTCACGTTGCCAAGGCTGGGGAAAGGACAGGAGTTTGCGGGGGACGGCGGTGATCAACGTCATTGTCCAACGATGTTGATGGACGATGGCTTGATGGGTGGGCCACGGTTTGCCGGAGCCGGGGGAGCTATCGTCAACCCGAGATGTGAGATGAAGGGGTTGTGAGCTGGGCGCCCGGTGATCCGACAGATATCGGAATTCCGGTCATAGTGTACCAATCTATTCACTTTGTGGTTCGTAGTAGGCTGAGATGGTACCTAGTGGTGATAATAGTGATGACCTGTGATAGGGGTTGGTGAGACGGTCATAATATAAATTAATGATTGGATTCTCTGGGCCAAAATGACCGAATCGGCTGTCAAAAATGGCCGACGGAGAGTATTGGCCGACAGCACCTGCAGCGGCCCCGACATGCTAGGTACATATGCTATGATTATGTACCTAGTGGGGTACGGTAGTACTGGACGTATGTAGAAATTGGGAGGGCTTGGAGGGGCCAGAACATGATGCACGTACGTACCTGATAATG